CAGTGAAGGTTTCTGTACAAAGTTCGCAGGTCAGAGGCGAGAATATTTGGTCTTCTTGTTGGGTAGTTTCTTGTTCTTCATCGTCAGTCGGTTCTGATTTTATATCATCAAAAACTTCCTTGGATTCGATTATTTCCATGTCTGCTTCACTCCAGTCTATTGGTTCATCTTTAATCACCAAGAACTGTAGGTTGTTGGTTTCTTTTGGCTCGGGCTTGATAGTTGCGTTATTCTTATCGGCGTTCTCGTTTGATTTAGATTCAGTTATAGACTGATCTTGGATCTTCTTGAAAGATTGATCTTCAATCTTCTTGAAAGTTTGTTCAAAAGAGAAATTTAGAACCTTTGGGATTGAACCAGGTTTGAGTGTCACAGTTTTCAACGGTTGCTTTCCTTTTTCTGTATTGACAGGCATCACAATCATTGTTTTATGCGGAGTTTTATTTTGCTTAGCGGCAACCAATTTTGTCTGGATAGCGCTCGATCCAGGTTGGGATGGCGGCACAGTTGTTGCTTTTGATAAACCACTTGTTGATGGTTGCGAAATTGAAACAGGAGATACAGCAGGTTGGCTTATTGCTTGCTGTTGTTGCGTAATGCGGGTAACTCTATCTGGATCACCCTTCTCTCTATACAGTCCTTTAATTTGGAGAATATCGCCTCCTCTCAGCACGTTCTTCAGAATGTCTTTGGACACCTTCGCCTCGCCGCTGTACATGTACCGCACCAATACCTTCAAACACTTATGGTCGATTTCTTGAGGTAGAACGATCATGAGCGGCAATGCTGTGGTCACTTTCCGTTGAAGTTTCAATATCTGGGCTAAATAGACACTGCTGTACGACAGCACGAATCGATGGGCCATGATCTGATGGCCATCGGTAGTAACCAACGCCACGTCCGTGAACGAGTCATTGTACAAAGCGGTTGAAATGCAGGAATGCATGTACGACGGATACAAACCCCATTTTAACTGATAGGATTCGCAGATTTCGGCTTCGCCCGACATGCTGTTCGATTGAAACAAGACACGTGCCACGAGCAGCAGCAAAACGGACACTATGGGACGCGAAAAGCTTCCAGCACGCTTCTAGCGTATAAATCGATAGTATCGTCCTCGTCCGCATCTACCGCCATTGATTTTCCGCAGCCAATCGCTAGGCGCGTTTATTGTATCGATCTGACATCGCTCGCATATCGCTCTAACCGCGCAGATATTGATTTTCTGCTCTATTGCACCCTGCTTATAGTACAGGGCAAGTGGGTATGCAGGGTGCGTAGAAAATATTTCGTAGATATTGCTGAGTACAGATAAATAGTCGTGTATGATAGAAATTGGAGATTGCCTCCGATAATGCGTTGGAATGGTGTGTTTTACCGTAGTAGAAATACTAGAAGTTGCAGATGTTGATCAAGAATATCGCAGATAAAATTAATGAATACATAGTGCTTTTCTTTTATTCCCCCATTAACCACTTGAACTGGTCATGGGAGCGGGAAGAAAATCGGGATGATGAAACTGATTCAGGGATACTACATTTTAGTCTAGAACTGATATTTGAAAAATTCAAGGTGGCTGCTATGCACCGTTTTGGAGAGTGTTTAAATGGTACGGCGCGTCAGGTCATAATTTTTTAGCTCCTTATGCTCAAGAATTTTTTTGAACGGCTCATTTTTTTTATACTCCAACTACCACAAAGGCCTAAGGCCCAAACACCCATTGGGTACCGTGGGGCTATAGGGGGATACAGAGGAAACTGAAACATAACTGAAAAACGAATTATCCCGTATAGTAGTCAGGTTCTACCTACAGGGTTACTGGTAATTCACTGTATTACTTCCAGGACGTGATAAGCAACATATTTCACCTTATACAGGGTGTCCTGAAAGTTGTGACTTTTTTACTTTTCAAAAACAACTACGCTTGAAATAACAAAGCTGCTGAGTGGTGGATTTTGTACAGAAATTTAAAATATGACTCTGTCACTCATAAGTACTGTTTAAAGCTGTCGCCGTTGGTAAAATGTTTCGTAGAAAGTCAAGGTATTGTAAACCGTCCAACCGATTTGGGAAAATAAAAGATACAATGAGCCACCATTTACGTCAGCCCAAATATTCAAAGACAATGTTGTTTGAAAATGTGACCGACAGACTATCTAAGGATTTTCCGATGATCACACACTGGTTTTTCGGAAGTTATTCACCCTGTTAGGCGTGAAGGTTGATTCATCCGTGAACAATACGGACTGCGACAACCACTCACAAAAACGCACTCTAACAGAAGAATGCTCAGAGCTCGTACACAAAGGTCAATCCATCAGCATGCAGCGTTTACCACACTTTAGTCTTGGAGACTCGCACGTGTCTAGCAACTACCTTATTGCTTGTTGAATGATTCATTCTACAAGATTCAATACTCCTTCCTCAGTTTGCACTATTCAGGGGTGCCTAGATTTTCCACTGTGCCCACCTCGACATTCCTGCAAAACGACCTGTATCCCTAGCACTTTGCACAAGGGAACCAAATCCCTGAATGATAGTCACTCGTAAATCCTCGGTATCGTTTTGAAGACGCTCAACATAAATTAAAGTCATGTCGACAAGTTTGATAATGATGTACGAGTATGCCATTTTGGGTTTTTCGAACGGATTGGTAAATAAATGTTTCATTTACCTACGCTTCCGGCGCCTGAGTTGAGTACTATGTGTCGTGTCGTGCCTTCTCTCTTTTGATCTGATCGAGATACAAGAGCTGATTAGGTTTGCTTTAGGTTTACAGTATTTCAACACAGGGTGAATTTGATCGTATTGATTTGTATTATCAGATTTTAGCAGTACCCTCGCTTCGATTACAGTGTTGCGTCTTATTATCTTCTATCATGTTTTAAAGATTATTTTGAGGTGATGTCTGCATATTTCAGACGCAAGATCCGAGGAGCATTTTGACAGTGCAAAATCTCTATTTAATCCTAGCACCCTCGTATCATGTTTTGGACAGAAATGTTATTGATTTTCTGTCCAACCTTTACAACTAAAGTTCTAAAACGGGGTTTTGAATCTCGAAATAGGGACCATCAAAAGCGACAGCAACATTGTAGCCCGTCAATATATTGATTTTATGAAACCAGTCCGACGTCTCGGTTGCTCTATCGATCGGGCATATCAGCAATGATGCATGGGACAATCTCTGTTAAATTTTGTGATTTATTATAGTCGTGGAAATATGGCAGCGAAAGGCAAAGTATTTCACTTCCCACGCCTTCTGGAAGTATTTTTTTGATGTTATATGACATGCCATGCCATGTCACTCATTTTCGTCTGCCTGTCTGTCCGCTAATCCTATAACCGCTTATAACTTTTGAAGTGCCTCTCGGATTGTGATGGAATTTTTACACAATGTAACTACTATGCCAACGTTTTGAATCTTTTCAAAATCGGTCCACTGTCGGCGGAGAAATAGGTCAAAAACGAAACAAAAAAAAAAATTATAAAAATCGCTCATGCTTCGTTTTTTGATGTCTCAGTTGACCCTGATCATTTTTAAAACAATTTTTAGAAAAAAAATTGGGGGTGGGGAGGGTGTATCTCATTTTTTGATGTAAGTATATTTATACGCTCCCAATCTTGGTAATCTACGCACCTATTAGACATATTTCACGTATTATAGATTGAAAAACCTGAAGTGAGCATCATAGCGAATCGTTTTTGATCGACGTACTCCTGCTACTTAAAAATCATTCATACGGACCATGCACGAAATGAAAGATAAGCTTGCTGCAGCGATGCCGCTCAGATGTGGAACGGGACAACGTTGCCAGAAGAACAGTAACTGCCGGCAGGGCAGTGAAATAATGTCTATGGACGAATTGTATGAGCCTGTTTGACTGACTTAATTCGTTTAATTTCCGTGGATATCGGTAAAAAACATTCTCAACAGATGGATCGCGTACCTAACAGCCGCATGTGCCGCTGACGGCGTACGGGTCCTGGTATTGCTCTGGTGTTACTGACGCGCCATAACATAGAGTTTCCTATCCTGTGGCCCCGGTGCCACGTCTGATCCGGTTAGGTATCGGGGAGTGACGACATTGTGACAGATGGAATAGCGGCAGAGCAGGGAAAAATGTCTATGGACTAATTAATGGACCTGTTTGACTGACTTTTTTCTCAGAGGGTTTGTGCGAAACAGAATCCTTTACGATCCGATAGCTGCTTTGTATGGGAAGTGCAGAGTCAATGTACTTAAGCATTTTTTTATTTACCAGTATAAAATATTGGACCTATCTATAATGTATCTCAGACCCACATGCCTTAACAATTTTAAGAATGAAATATAATCAGTGAAAGTTTATTGTAAAACACTTTTCTTGCTCATAATTTCTGTAATTTTGGAAGCTTTACGTTGGACCGGAGCTACTCAGGGCAACCAACAGAACGACGAGAAATAACGATTGGAACGATGGCTGGCTTATCCAGCACCTAAAGATTGTTCTTACCAAGAAAGAAGTATAGCTAATGAATTCTGAATGTATAGCCGTAGGAACTACAATTATTTGTATATGCTTATTCAAGTTTTAACTTTAATTTTGAATGCCGCTCTATCGCTTCTAGATCGGTACAACAAACTAGTGAACTTCTGGGACGACGTGTACGGCTTCTCGATGAAATGCATGAAGAGCGAAGTACTTCGAGAGGCGTTCGTTGAGCTGGTACCAGTTGACAACCTATTGACGGATGCCAGTGTAGTAACGGAAATTGATCTGATGAAGTGCAACGTCGACGTCTGCATTTTCAGTTCTAAGTTCAAATTGAACGTGATCAAGGACGGAACGCTCACTGCCATCGCTGGGTACTTCGATACGTTTTTTGATCTGGAAACGAAGGTGGAATTTTCAACTGGGCCTCATGCGCCGAAGACTCATTGGCAACAGACAGTTTTCTTTTTGGGGCAGACAGTAGAGCTTAGAAAAGGTAAGCTTTGGAAGTAATGATAAACAACATTATTTGAATGGTTTATTCTTGCTACAGGTTATCACAAAGGTAATGGTAATCAATGTCAACAGATTAAAAAAACATAAAATGATCATACTTGCTTTAATCATTATCTGGCTATTACACAAAATTGGTAGCTCATTGATAGGAATACCCTTTGAACGTTATGCCTACCTAGGCAGCGGCTGAAATTCTTCCTAGTACCTTTTTTTCTGTTCCTGCTTCATTATATCTTAGAGCCATCAGATGTGTTTTTGAAATAAGTATGACTTAGGTCTTTGCCTTACAAGATTCACGTATATTTACGTAATTAGCTGAGACATTAGTTTTTCCGCCCTTTAATCTTTCTTCAATTTTTGAGTGCAATGAGTCACATTCCATCTGATAGTGACCCTTCTCAAGATATTTTTGATTTATGCACACTTTCTGGAATACAACTGGGTTAAGCAAAGCAATGGCCGACTTGATTATGCAGGCCAGATGGTAAAATTATAGTTTATATCATTTTTGTTTTATAATATGGAACGTTTGACCTGGGTGGGACACCTTGCTTGAATTCCACGCTGTTTTTCAAAAAATAGTTTTGTAATCTGAGGAGATTCTTGGCTAAAAGCAAATACCTAGTTGAACTAATATGGAAATTACAGATATTATATCATTGTCACTATAAACAATGAAAAAAATTTGGAAGTAATTCAATTTGATATTATTTTATTATTATAACGTGAAAGTAAATACCTTTCCTGAGAACTTTCAGATTTAAAATTAAAATAGGTGTGACTAATACTTATAGTTTCATTTGGACCTTTTCAATACACATTAAAATTTTTGGTTTGTCTCCAATACCCCACTTTTCAATGTTGTTAGATATATACGATCCCGTTAACAAACCTTAAATTCGGACTGAGCACTCAAAGAAACAAGATGTGGACTGAAATAAATTAAAAATACCTCACAACTGTGCTATAATATTTTAACACCTTTGATCGATATTCAGTTTAAACGGCTTTTTGCATTCTACAGAAACTTTCACCATTTTCGAAAAATGTCTGGAACACTAGGACCGTATGGAAGCCACGCATTTTTGTATGCTTTCGCAGAAAAAGACAAATTTCGAGTGAAATGTAAACAAATGTTAAACTAACGGCTTAAGCCTAATCGACTTGTACTTTCACCCTGACTATAGCCCATCAGGTTGTTGGAGATAAACAAATCATAGACTTGCTTCTTCTAACTAGCCCGAATTTGTTGATTGCCACTACCTTTAGAGAATGCTAGTGATGCTTAGCACAACGGATTTTTTTAGTTGTCTGCAATATTCCCAGGTCGTGTTCTTTGATTATTAAGTTTCAGTATCAAGCCACAATCGGAATTGAGTCTCTACACATAATAGCATTAATAATTGATATCTTTTTAGGGGACACCGTAGAAGGAACCATATCTTGTACCAGATTGACCAAAAACGTTCGAGGACTATCAGTAACAATCACAATAGCAGACAAAAAATACCAGTTCATCTTAGATTAACAGCTTTATTTTTTGTAATGTCTTCTCGTAATTAAACTATACATTAAAAATGTACTTAAACTACTAAAAATAATTTACTTAAAGCAACTTCCTCCGATTGCCGTATGCCGATCTGACCTATCTTTCAGCTTTGACAATTCTGTATTTTGATCCAGATACTTGACAATCGTGACATGCATATGGTATAGTGGATATAAGAACATATTTTGGCACTTTCACACGTATATACAGTTTATATCTTGTTAAAAATTTTGACAACCATGTTACTCAATTTACAATATCCCTTAACATTTCATAGTAACACTGTTCACTTAATATTGAAACAAAATACGGCATAATTGTGTTAAAATATTGTGTCTTCTGAAACAGACAAAGCAGTATATCCACTGGATGGGGGAAGTACTTAATCTATTGACTCGAGTACCTTTTTACAACTTTGTCATTATCTAGTGCTAAACCCGTTATTGTTTCGTATCCTGAATACTTGGTGGAGTGGATTGAATACAGTTTTCGGGGTAGTGTAGTATGGTACCCTCCTTGGAAAATCCGGTTGTACATCTGCTCTCAAGATCACGACACCTGCGAAGAAAGTTATGACATTATGCGAAATTGCTTCATTACAGAAGTTTGCAATAGCAATAATTATTTTATGTTGATTTACTACATATATAATGTAGGCTTTTGATTGATTTATTATATTGAACGCTTCTATTTGGCACAAGGCTTCAACGGATCATTTTTTGATCTACGACACATCTCGCTGTCAACAATATAAAATGCGTTACAGATCATATTAGGCGAAAATACCCCTGGTTTGCGAAATAAATGTAAAATCTGGTTTTACTGCTGCAAGTTGTTCAACGGAGTATTCAAAATATGGACGCATAAAATGGGTACACCAATTTTTGTGGGAAAACTTTAATCCAGAACAAAGAATGAGAAAACCTGTTTTTTAGGAATCAATCGAAAGTGTTGACAGGAACGAAAAACTCTTCTTATAAGATTGTTAGCTATGTATGAGACCTACAAAATGAGACCACACGTAAAAAGATCAGACTAATAGCAAAAAACTTATGGCCGAAAACTGACGCAAGCAAGAATTTCTAATTGTTTATCCCAAAACACCTGTTTACCGGTCATTACTTCTAGTTTATTGAGCAACATACAGGGTTAGTTCAAAGGACATTTTATAGCAAAAAGGGCTGGGTTACGTTTTTTCTTCTAAACAAATTCAAACATTTCGCATTTGTGAGTACTGCGCAACAAAAGATGATAGCGGTGTTTTAAAATGTGTATAGTAACGTATGTTTTTCGAACATAGTAGCGCATTTGTTCAATTACTCACAAATACGAAATGTTTGAATTTGTTTAGAAGAAAAAAAACGTAGCCTTCAAGTAGCATTACCAACAAGCGCCAAAACCCGCAATTTGCCTCGTTTTTCGGCCATAATATTTATGCTATTAGTATGATCTTTTTGTGTGTGGTCTCAAAAATACCTAAAAATCTTATATGAAAAGTTTTTTCGTTCCTGTCAACACTTTCGATTGAATCCCAAAAAACACGTTTTCTCATTCTTTGTTGACAAATAAAAATGTTTCCCATAAAAATTGGTGTGCCCATTTTATGCGTCCATGTTTTAAATACCGCCTTGAACAACTTGCACCAATAAAACCAGACTTTACAATTATTTCGGCAAAATTTGCTAATATGATTAGACATTTAATTTATGGGCTCATCCAGAACAGCGAGTTGTTTAGTAAACAGCAACATGAGTCATAGGAAAAATAGTCGCCGACGGGATTTGAATCCGCATTTTCTCTATTCAGTGGAGTCTACAGCACCAGCCAAAACCAACGCTGCTAGATGGGGCACCAAGGCAGCTTGAGACAGCAGTGGCTTGGGTAGGTCTGAATTTGCGTCTAAGTCGATCCTGAAAGCTGATGCTGTAGACTAATTGGTTAGGTCGGCTCCACGGAATGGAGAAGATGTGATTTTAAATCTCGCCGGCGCACCTTTTTCAGTTCTCTCAAGTTGTTGCTTACCAAATGCTTACTAATATTGTAGTTGGTTGTTTCAAAAATATTGCTCGTAAACAAAATAAATTTATCAATTTTAGTGACGCAACTATATTTGCAGCAAAATTGGCGACAAAATAAAAAATATTAGCGGAAAAACTACTGGTTTTCATGAACGATGAATATTATGTAAATAAGATACGAGTATACTCCATACAAAATATTTTATCATAGGAACGAGTTATATCTCCATAATATTTGGTTCCTTATCTGATTATCGACCAATAATTTTTTTATAACCAACCAGCCGCGTAAGCAGAAGCGCAAATTCCAGGGCATCAGAGTTTAATGAAACTTTGTTAATCCGATTTTTGAGCTGCCTAAGGTTATTAGAACTAGGAAAAGCGTCTTCAGGTAGATTATTCCGCAATCTCAATATACTATAGGGACAAAGGATCAGTCGTATCGGCCACTTGTGGTTTTACGAAGTTCGACGAGGTTAGTATGGGAGGCCGAAGTCAGGCGGCGTTGAGATTGTTGCATGCTCATCGTGCTGCGAGCTCTGAGGAGGAAAGCCCGTTGTCATAGCGGTAGAAAAGAGCTTGATTGCCGACGGCCCGCCGACGCAAGAGGGTATCAAGATTGTCTGCTAGAGAAGAGTCAACGACCCTTCGGACAGCCCTACTCTGAACAGCATCGAACATAGGTAATGTAGTCGTGGCGGTAGCACCCCAAACGTCGAAGCTATGTCTATTTGGGCCTTGTACAGAGTGATGGGTTATGTGGAGAAAAGTACTTCTTAGCCTTCAACAAATAACCTAGCTTTTTCCAAGCAGCTGTCGCTATTGACGAGATGTGCTCCTGGCAGATTTAGTCTGGTGGTATGGACTACAACAATCCGAAATGAACGGCTCGATGGTAGAACTCGGCTATCCATCAAAACCCGATGAGTACTAGGACGCTTCTGGTTCGTTAAGGTATAGTATCGTGTTTTGCAAGCATTACACTGAACCAATTTTTGCGTCCCCAAGCAGTGAGGACCTCCAGGTCTCTCGACAAATGGGAAGTCGCTGCTAGTCTTCTTTTCTCCAACTCACCGTCTCGTCACTGTGAATTCCTGCAAGTAGAGCAAGGCTGTGGATCGGGTTGGACGTACGGGAAATGAGATCCTTGATATGTAAGAGGTACAATGTCGGAGTTAAGAGTGACCCGTGGGAACACCCGCGTTGACATTGTGGGATGAAGAGAACCCGTGAATTACGACGTATCTTAACGAGAGGAAGTCGGCCACCTATCTGCAAAGCTTTTCCAGGAGGCCATATGTTGGACTTTTACATAAGACGGCAGCAAGCCACAGCTGGCCGAACGCCGCACCTCTTAAACTGTTTGCAACAAAACCCTTATGAAGAGAGCAGTAAGGTATAAATTACGCTTTTACTTGGAATTGCTGGAATGACTTGGCGAGATCTTACCTGATGGATTAACCTTGACCTTGATTTTGGTTTGCGGTGAAAGTACTCCATAGTCTACGTCCTCATACAAGTCCTTGAAATAGAGAATTTTATTATCATTATATATTTGTAGAATAGCGTGTTATTTCCATAGTAACATTTGAAAAGAGTAAATGATGATGTTCGTATGCATACTGTTTGCATATTATTGGCTTCTTTGATTTACATATGTGTAAGCCTAGTACCATTTGTTATGACAATTTCTGTCTCTTATTCTATCCCATCGGATTTTTAAAAAATTAAAAAAAAAAAACAATAAGCGATATCACGCGGTGATTAAAAATTCATCAATTCAAGCTACAACCGGCAATCACTCGGAACACTATTATAAATTCCTACTATAGATCGAGCCTTATGCAAAGCGCTTATCTTATGTCAATATCTAACATGATGAGAACTAACATTTATTGTTGTTCATTTATCAAATTTTGCACGGGTAATATTGTTTTATTTGGAGCACGAGCATACGCCTTTTCAATTTTAACTTATTTTAATTAGGTTCGAATGTAACTGATAATAATAAAATATTTGAATGCGACATTAGTTTTTCTTAATTGGAAGTATGAAGCTAGAAGGCATTGTCGGAAAGTTCTAGCGATATAGCCAATGGCCATGCTTCGGAAATTGTCTAGAAAAAATAAAAGCCATTTCTACTCACCTCAACTCTGTAACCTGTAGGAGATGTAAGTCCAAGTTCCTTAAGGGTCACAGCTACATCTGAAGGTGTTCCGTCCGTTCTCCTGTTAACGAACGCTATGGCATACGAGAAGTAATTCTGGAAAAGCGGTGTTATGGGTCTGGACCATATTTCTATTCCTTTATGCTGCAATTAAAAAAAAATGGCGTCAAGTATGTTGAGTTTGCACTTCACTAGCAATCAAACAGGCCGACATACAATTAGTGCATATTTCATAGCCCTCATTCATTTGATAAGGCTAACGCTAGTTTCTTCCCTGCCCTAAGTATCGACCATCTGGCAACGCTACTGGACTACTGCTGTTAAACACGTCATAAGCGCCAGCCACGATACTTGAACATGCTTGTCGGCGATGTTGTTAGACGCAAGGCAGGGTTCGGCGTTTGGAAGTCGCCGTTGTATCGCATCATCCCGGCAGATCGCGTGTATCGTGTATAAATTTTATAAGTTATAAGGGCAAATGTATGGGGAAAACCTCGATGCGAAATATGTACTGATAGGCAGATGTACCTTCCCCTCTCTTCGCTTCCCTTCTTCCTCATTGAGCTTGAACATTTAGCGCAGTTAAAGTGCTGCGGAACAGTGGCATCTCCAGCAAACCGCACAATACAAATAACCTTATATTTAGTTATTTCTTTAAAAGTGCGAAACATTTTTGAAAAGGTGCATGCTGTAACGCTCTCGTATAGCTAGGACCTTGGGTGGCGGTGGAGCGCTGTCCTCGCTTAGACAACCAGGTATGCGACCGTGCGTAAGCACCTACCGTCATCTACCAACTTCGAGGACGAAGTTTTTGCTAGAAAATGCTGAAGTGCATCTGGAACCGTCGATTCACCATAGAAATATTCTACCAAATGGCGTAAGCGGTCAGCCACAGTCGCTGTGGCAATCTTTATGTTTGTATATGGGCAGACAGAGCGCCATCGATCACTCAAAATGCATTTTATTTTATCCATCTAACGATAAGCAAAAGACGTAAGATTTTTTTAGTAATTTTATTTTTCAATATAATCTCGCCTACATCAATGCATTTGCGCCATTTCTCATCCAGTGAACTTTATACCCTTAGAAAAAATGTTTCGACTTGACTTAAAAAAAGTCATCGTCGGCTGCTTTTAGGCCATCATCTGAGTCATAACGGTGTCCTCGAAGATTTTTCTTTAGAAATTTAAAGAGATAAAAGTCAGTCGGAGTCAAGTCCGGACTATGGGGAGAATGGTCTATCTTAACCACGCTGCATTCCTGCATAATTGGCTAATTGGTTTAATTTTGACAGCCTTATGCACGGTCACATTGCAGCAGAAACAATTCTCAATTGGGAAAATCTTCTGGTTGAATGCTTTACGGAAATTTTTCAGCGTTTTCGCATTTGTTCTCTTTTGGCATACTCATTCAGATGATGTCCCAAAAAACTATTGCCATCAATTTTCCAGCGGAGGGTTGCTTTATGCCCACTGCTGATTCTGTTTTTTGTCTTAGAATTCCGATGATGCATCCAAGTATCGTGACCCGTCGCAATTTGTCAAAGCTTCCAAACGACTTTCTGAAATTTCCAACCTGCGTAATTTATGTTCTGATGCTAATAGTCGTGGAACCCTCGTGACTGACACCTTACTCATTTTCAAATTGTCGTTATTACGCTGGGTTGTGATTTATTCAATACCATTCTAACGGTAGAGACTAGAGACCTTCACACGAGGATCTTCGAGAGCCATGGCTTCAACTTTTTGAGTCATTTCATCATTAGTTTCTCTTTTGGGTCTTTCACTTCTGAAATCAACCTCTCTGGATTTAGGCCCCTATTGAAATTGCTTCGACTAAAATTTGATTGTGCATATAATACGATGGTGTATCATCCCCATGGACTGCAACCATTCTCTCAAAAATTGCTTTCTACTGATGGCCCTCTCTTGTCAGAAATTTTATGTCACTGCGATAATAACTACTAACTAACGAAGTGTTTATCAAAATAATCTCAAGTTTTGCAAGTGTCTCGTATTTTGAGGTATGGCGCTTTTGTGCATCAAGCTTGATATAAAAACCGAAATACCCTGGTTGAATATTTTGAGAAACCTCCTACGTACTACGCGCGATCGTACGTTTCATTATAACATTCTAAATTTGATTTTTCTGTACAATATGTAATATTGAAATAAGTTGGTATTGGATTAGCAATAAAGCTGACTCTTGTTTGAATTTTTAAAAAGGTACTTTAGGAGCGACTTTTAAGTTTATTGGTACATGTGCTTAAAAAAATTAAAATTATAAACTATCTAGCTGCGAAGATGTAAGATGTTTCGGCCGAGACGCTTGACGACCACAATAATGAAAACATTTTTGAATATAAACAATTACTACCGTATTTTATGATCATAAAATCAGTTTTGCATTGAACTTAATATTAAAAAAAGAATATAAATATGTTTTCGTGGCTGTTGCGGAAATATGAAATTTTCCGGATGAAATGCCACGTATTTTGCCGTTGAGAAACAGTGTAAATATTTTTTCAGTTTTGTTTTGACAATTAAATCAAGGCGACAATTAATTAGCCTGTGAATTAGTTATATCTTGTGGGATCAGAACTCATTTCGCGAATACGGTTAATGACTTTTCGAAAACAACCTGTAACCTTATTTAAATGTGGTAGTTTCTGAAAAACGCCTCATATACCATTCAGGTACTATTCCATTATCGCTTGTATTCTACGATGCAAAGAAATACGATAAATTTTCTTGTTCAGTGCAAATATTTGGTATGAATATTACGATTGAAGATTTCCATAAGACAAACACTCAGATTCAGCGCGCTGATCTTAACGAGGATCTTTATTTTATCTCTATTTGTTAAATACCAGAGTATCGTGGCTCCTATGAGGATCTTAAAGAAACTTTGTTAATGCGATTTTTGAACTGCCCAAGGTTAGTAGACCTGGGAAAGTCCCCCTCAGGTGGATCGTTCCACCATTTCAACACCCTAGGGACAAAAGAGCGGCCGTATCGGTCAGTTCTGGATTTACGAAGTTTGACACGGTTAGGATGGTAGTCCGAAGTCAGGCGGGTCTGTCTGGCAGGCACATCGCACTGCGGTATCATGTAGGAGAGCTTTGAGGAGTAAAGCGGTAGCTTAGCGTTTCTGTTTGCACACTAAACACTACCTAGTCTGCAAGATGACATTTCGTAGACTTCTTTTAACGTTTTTAGGTTTTTTACATACTACCCCTGCAGGTCTCTCGTCAGAGAAGTTGCTGCCAGTCTTCTTTTCTCTAGCTTGTCACTCTGAATTCCTGCAAGCAGAGTGCTGTCATCAGCAAAGCTGCAGATCGGATTGATCGTACAGAAAAGGAGGCCATTGATATATAAGAGGAATAATGTCGGAGCCAAGACCTATCACTGGGTTCACCAGCGTTGATATTGTGGGATGAAGAGGATAACCCGTTAATTACGACGGATATCTCGCGGCCAGAGAGAAAGTCGGCTACCCATCATTAGGCAGCATCCCGTAGCTGATAAAACCTCGCTGAACTAAGCTGAAAATCGAGAATCGAAGCTTTTACTTCCTACGCCACTGGATAGGAAGTATTCTCAAAGCGAAAAATTTCGAAAATGGGATATGTTTTTTGTCATCTTCGCGAGATTTATTTATAGTTTCGATCACCCTCAGGAATTCTTCTCAGGGAGAGAGGGAGGGCCTTGTCTGCCTCCAAAGCTTTTTGGAGAATGAGTAGCATATTTTCTCAGTGCGGCCAAATTCTAAAGAGCCCCAAAATGGTACAGAAGAGCATGCTAAATATGTCAATTTTAATTGTTTTAGCTTGTCTGGCTAACTTGAATAATTAAATTTTCTGTTATACGTATTCGTAGAAAGTTTTTCTTAGAAGGGCTTAGGCTCCGAACATAATCCTATATGAACTGATGACAGTGTGTTGCGTAGGAAGTGCAGAGTCAAGCCACTTGACGCCATTGTTAAAGTCTAGATTTCCCATTGAGTGGAAGGGAAGCCGAACTCTTTCGCCGGGTTCCTCTACATACAATCAAAGAATAGGCGTTTCGCCTAAATAGTCTTGCAATTTTATTTTGTTGATCAGGCATAATCAATAGGTTTTATCGTGTAAGAAAAGTATCCTGCTAAGCCCTTCAGGGTCTGTATTCTAACGAAAACACCGCTTTTGCTGTCCACCTTAATACTGATTTATAACTATGTCGACTGGACCATTATTCCATGTTAATTCCGCGCTGTTGATTGTATCGACTGTGGCTGACCGCTTCCGCCATCTGGCAGGATATTTCTGTGGTGAATCGACGGTTCCCGATGCATTTCAGCATTTTCTAGCAAAAACTTTGTCCTCGAAGCTGGTAGATGGTGGTAGGTGCTTACGCACGGTCGTATACCTGGTTGCCTAAGCGAGAAGATCGCGGAAGCGCTCCACCGCCATCCAAGATCCTAGCTATACGAGAGCGTTACAGCATGCACCTTTTCAGAAATGTTTCGCACTTTCAAAGAAATAACTAAATATAAGGTTTTCTGTATTGTGCGGTTTGCTGGAGATGCCACTGTTCCGCAGCGCTTTGTCTGCGCTAAATGTGCAAGCTCAATGAGGAGAAGGGAAGCGATGAGAGTGGAAGCGAAACTATTCCGCGGGGTTCCGTTATTTATAACCACGTTTGCCTCCTGCAAATGACAGATATCGCAGTTGTTCCTTGCGCGTCGTCTCGCCTCAGGTGGTGTGGACGTTAGATTTTGAGATCGTAAAGAACTTATCCAGATCCCCTTTTTTCTTGTACTTGGTATGACACTCCATCTGATACAAAAGAATAAAGGTAGAACATAAATAAGAGACATTATTAGAAAAGGCAAAAGTCTAAACAGGTTTTCTTCATGTCGCATGATTCCAGATCCCCAAGTTGCTGCTATATTTCCAGAAAAGTTGACCTAATTTATAGACATTAGTTAAGAAGAATGACGAAAACGTGTCAGCTTCAGGGTTTTGTACAAACAACCTCAATTTGCAAAAAAAATTCCAGTAGAAGCTTGCTAGTTATTCATACTATCTTTTCCTACTCGATCAATAACATTCTAATGGCCACATAAATAAAATCAGATTGCTCTCACAGTTTTCTACAAATGGATATTTTATTCATTATTTAATATTCATCCGACTAAACCTTGTTATAAAATTTATAGTTCACGGACTTTTTCAGATGAAGTGGCTCGCGATCTCTAATATGTTTCTACCACTGAACCGGATATCAACCTTAATTTATCAGATGACTATAAAAAGGTAAGAAATGCGAGGCTTTTGTTCAATCAAGATATGTACAGACGTGCAACTGAACGATGTTAAATATACATTATGTGTAAGATAATATTGGTATAACAGATGGATCTCGGAAACGATTGCATTTAATTACAATGCCGTCTGAATTCTGATACTGGAACTAAGCTTTTTTTAAACAGAGAATACAACCTGTATAGTTTTATTTTGTCGTTATGTTTGTATGGAAAATGAGCATCTTTCATGTTTCATGTAATGGAGTCCATTATCAGCTAATGTTTTTTAACATACATCGGATATTATCTTTGCCCATAATACGAGGCACGACCAAAAAATGTGGTGAGTTTTTATTTTTATAAAAAAGAGTATTCATTAATATCCATGTTGTCCCTACTGCAGCCTTAGAATCTATGCCTGAGCATACCCAGTTTTTTTTATATATCGAAGCAGCCGCGCAGGCAGAAGCCTAAAGCCGGAACACCGCGGCTGCTATGATGATCCCAAAGAAATTTTATTAATACAATTTTTGGACTGCCTAAGGTTAATAGAACTGGGAAAACCTTCCTCTTGTAGATTGTTCCACAATCTCGACACCCTCGGGACAAAGGAGCAGTCGTATCGGCCGGTTCTGGATGTACGAAGTTCGACACGGTTAGGATGGGTCTGGCAGGCACATCGCGCGACGGCATCATGGAAGAGAGCTCTGAGGAGCAAAGCCCGTTGGTGTAACGGTAGAAAAGAGTAACGGTGATCTGGACTCCGACCAGCCGAAATGAATGGCTCTTTGGCAGAACTCCACCATCCATCGAAACCGGGTGAGCGCAGGGGCGCTTTTTGTTCGTCAAAGTACAGTACTGCGTTTTGGAAGCATTGAACTGTACAAGATTGTTGCGTCCCCAAGCAGTGATAGCCTCCAGGTCTCTGGTCAGAGAGGAAGTCATCGCTAGTCTTCTTTTTTCCAGCTCAGCGGCAGAGATCGGCTTGTCACTTTGAATTCCTGTATGTAGAGTGCTGTCATCAGCGAAGCTGTGGATTGAGTTGACCGTGCAGGAAAGGAGGTCGTTGATATGTAAGAGAAACAGTGTTGGAGCCGAGACCGATCCCTGGGGAACACCCGCGTTGATGTTGTGGGATGAAGAGGAGAATCCGTCAATTACGACGGATATCTTGCGGCCAGAGATAAAGTCAGCCACCCATCTGCAAAGCTTTTCTGGGAGGCCATAGGATGGAAGTTTGCTTTAGAGGGCAGCGTGCCACAGCTGATCGAACGCTTTCGTGATGTCAAGAGCAACGACATGGGCCTCACCATAAGACTGGATGAGTTTACTCCACAATTGAGTGACGTAAGCTAGGAGGTCTCCTGTGGATCGTTGGTGCCGGAAACCATACTGCCTGTCGCTAATCAAGCCGTGACGTTCGAGGTAGTCCAGAAAAGCTCGCGATTTATGCACCTCTCCATCACCTTACTTAAAACAGAAAGCAGAGCTATAGGCCTGTAAGGGTCGGTTTTAGATCCTTTTTTTGGGATGGGTTGGATATGAGAAAATTTCCAGTTTTCTGGGAAGGTGCCGGATTCATAAGATATCTGTAAGAGACGCGAAAGAACTGGAGCAAGCTCCGGTGCACACCTCTTCAGTACAATGGCAGGAATCAACTCCGGACCAGAAGCTTTGTTGATGTCGAGCGACAAGAGCGCTCGTCTTACGGCCTTATGCCTGAATGTTACCTCCCGCATAGTGTACGGAACCCTTAGAATTGACGGCACTTGGGCGTTGGGGGGGACGTCCATTGTGGAGTTGGCAGCAAAGATCTTGGCTAGCACTTCCGCCTTGGCCTTTGAGTTGAATACAATAGTTCAATCCTGACACGTAAGTGGTGGAAGGCTACTGTCTGAGTTCTTTTCAATCTGCTTGGCCAGCGTCCAGAAAGACCGACTGCCATTGCGCTGCGACATTACATTGTGCCTAACTTTTATATCATGCTGGTTTTTGGCATTGCGAACCGCTTCGTTATATTTGTGCCTGGACTCGACGTCGGCTTGTCTGTTCTCTACAGTGGGGTTTTGTAAGAAGGTTCTGTGTGCATTGATCTTCTGCTGGCGAGCAGCGTCACACGATTTGTTAAACCAGCCGTTGGACTCTGGTCTAGGCACTTTCACTGTGTGAGGGATGTATTCCTCCATTCCGACGTGGATAATTTCGGTTATCGAAGAACACACAGCGGACGCGTCCGCATCCGTGAAACAGACATCTTTCCAAGGAAAGCTAGAGAAGAAATCTCTGAGCCCCTCCCAGTCGGCATGTCCGTAATGTCAAGTTTTGCGGCCTGTATGAGTTTCTGCTGCCACAGCGGGTTCTGACCGAAACCTAACCTCCACAACACCGTGGTCTGAGTTACCCAGGGGGGCAGGACAGCAGTCCTGTAAGGGGCAGGATGCGTGGTCAGAAAGAGATCCAGCAGGTCACTGGCGTGTGACGAGACGCGGGGGAAAAAAGTAGCCCTTGGGAAAGAGCGAACGCTTCGACTGCACGACCTGATGCGTCGGTCTTGATTGAGCCCAACCAAAGCTCGTTTTGGGCGTTAAAATCACCGAGAAGAACTACCTCTGAAGCGGGATGATTGATGTTCAGGAAGTCGATCTGGACGGCGAGGTATTTGAGTAGGTTAATCGGTGCAGACTCTGAGATTTTTGTCTTCGCCAAGAAAAGCACGGCGGGACGATTGGATTGCAGATGTTCGAAAAACAAGTTTTGTCGAAATAAGACCGCACAAAGTAGAGTTGCTTAGCTTTCGTTCGTTGCCCACCGAGATCAAGCCTACAAAATGCTGAAGAGTTGCCAAATAGCATAAAACAGCTGTCCATGGTTGAGAGTCTATGGAAGAGGAAAGCTATAGCTTGTTCAATGCCGAGTTGTGTTGCAAATCTGTATAGTATCACTACTTATCATCACACTGGTAGATTTGTTCTTGTTATTACTAGGTTACCTTGTATATCCGCCTGCCTTGTATTCCAAGAGGGTCTTGGTCGACGGCAATGATTTTTCTGTTCTGCAGAATTGCTTTGTACTCTGGCTTGATGGTTCTCAGATCAACGGACATCAAAAGGGGTGCCGCAAGGATGGCCCATATGGCCATTTGTGTTTTGCATTGTTCGTAGCTGAGACCAAAGTTTCCGATAATCAACTGAAACAAGAAAATTAATGGTTAAATTTATAGAACTAACTTTCACTAGACATCTTTATATATAAATGAATAATCTTCAGCTTATGACAGCATATCTAATATACGATAAACTAGTGCAGCTCTCTATTGATATCACTTGATTCGGGATGTTGATCAGATTCCGTAAATTAATACAAGAGATAAGTCATAAAAAAATAATTCATATTTAACAATGACGATTTAAAATGTATAAGATAAAGACTTTTGTGCAGTATAAAGCCACTTATACCAATCATCAATCATGTTATCTTGGAAGCATCTTCTCGAATATGCAATAATATACGAAACAGTTCGTTTTAAAGCGAAATAATAAACGCCGTCAATTTCTTTGAACGGAATTCTCCATGTTTTATTACAGATTCTGATGGACCCTCACACAAGAAGACTGATGTACTAAGCGGTTTTGATCATCAGTTATTGTGATTATTTATAAGCGATACAATGTATAGAAACGCATCTTGAAAGAGAAATTTTATATCTATTCATTTTGAAATTTTCAACTACCACTTTTACGTTGAAATGATGCATTAATTTCATCACCTTGAATTGTATCTTGTAAACTTGAACCGTTCAACTACATCTGATCAAGAACAATGACGTAGGTTAAAACACCACTTTTGATTGGAAAAATCAGTTAAAACTGTCATGTAGGACATCGGTCAAAACCATTTTTTACTAATTTTTGTAGTCAAAAGTGGTTTTGAGAGGTTTTTACTTTTGACAGTAACAAATGTATATCCTGAAATGTCATTATCGAAGAAAATAGAAAGTACCTACCAATCCGACCAATCTCAATTAGAAATCTATGCAGGTACAAACCTTATTGTTTCATAATCGCACTGAGAGTATCACTCAGTACTATCCCAAATATCTATGCAAAGTAATAACAATAGATAGTGTACATGTATGTATGCTTTCATTGTTTCTTCGCCACCTTGAATACCATTAGCTTTTTTATGTCGGCTATTACGAAAAAGAAAGTGAAAAGGAAGTATAGCAATATGACAGTATGTTTATGAAGATCCATCCTCGTTGAATAATAGATATATGTTGGTTAATGTGTCTGTTAAGGTCAAGCTTTGCAGAAGTACATGTAAAAGGTAATTAAATTAAATAGCTTACGTGATAGGGGATTGTATTATTGTGGATTTGCGTGATAATAATTGTGTTAATTTCCTTTTAAATGCAAAGTGTGCCTGAGGCGTACACCGTTTGATTGTGAGGCTGGGCAGGTAGCCAGATGTATGTACTTACATCTGGCGTTTATGTACAACTCGAAAATTCAATTTAGGGACTCGCCTAATTTATTTTCTGAAACTATCATGAAAGTCGAGCGTATATTGAGTAGTAGATATGATGTTATATAAGAATGGGATAGTGCGTAATATCCTGGTATGAAGTTTTTACATTGAAAATTCAACATCATCATTTTAGTATGGTCCTAGAAGTTTACTGTATCAGACTCCGCAAATTTACCGTGTATTATTTTGTTTTTGTCTCTTCCCACTTCCTTCTTTGGATAGGATGAATACTGGCATTTCTTCTGTTCTGTTCTGTTAATATAAGATTATATCGGACTGTGTATTAGATTTATAAATTTGGTGCCAGAATATGTGCATGTGCCAGGCCCAAAATTGCGTCAAAAATTGATCTAACAATTTTTCTTGGCTAATTCCAAAAAAAAGTTTTTTTTTCACGAGTGAGTCTTTTAGGCTTCCTGGGCCATTCTGAAAAAAAAGCGGTTTTTATCTCTAAAAATGATAGTTATTTCAAATTTTTACTTTTAAAATATTAGTGTAGATACTTATTGATATAATAAAATGTTAAATTGATGATAAATCCATGCAACTTAGCATCAATGGCTCAAGACATGAATTTCGAAATTTGCTGAGAAATACCCAATTATAGGTGTATAATTTATATAGCATCTGGTTCCTCGATTTCTACAGCTTTGGTGTGAAATGGAACCCAGAAAAATTGATTAATTAAATTGTAAACTTGGAAAATATTTTTATCACAAGGGGTTGATTCAGAACTGCGTGGTAACTCAAACGTACATTTTCCTTATGGAATGATCTAGATTTAATCGTGTATTTGGATAGGCTCTTTCAAATGAAGCAATTTGATATAACATACAATAAGGTTTTATTATCAAATTTTGAGATACTGGACAATCTATCGAAAAAAAACATTCAACTTTGACAACTAGCACCCTCTGCAACTGTTATAGCCAGAACACCGAATTTTTCGTCAGAAAATATTATGCCATTATATTTTCTCGCTATCTACTTACTTTTTCATTTTTTGGATAGTTTATACAGAGTGGTCAAGAACGTAAAATGAACTGTTTCATAATTTTCAAATAGAATAGAGTTAACTTTTGTGTGGGCATCAAGGTAATTGGAAAATATTGTAACAACATTTAAAATAATGTGTTATGTTTATCATCGTTCGCATGATATCGGATATTTTTTTATTTTACCTTCAGAAACGGATAATAATACCTTATACTACTTTAGGAAATACAGTTTTGGTTCTTTCATGTTTAGCTTTAGCTGAGCCTTTAGTTTTAGGTGATTGCTTTGAGGATATCGCTGTCGATATATTCAGGATGCATTTTTTTGAACTTTCCTTTGGACTCTGAATCATGTTTTTTATAGTGGCGAATTGGCTGTTTTTTATGTGCATTAAAATCAGAATAGTTTTATCTTGATAAATATTCTACAAAAAGGTTAGTAATAAACTACCCTGCAGAGAAAAGATATTTTTCAAGTCAAGCATATTGTCGGCTAGCTAACTTTTTCAGTTAGCATACCATAAACCTTGCATAAAAAAGATCGTGGAGACAAAAATCAAAGAGTGTTAAAAATATACAGGGTGTTCCCTTTCCCAATTATGAAAAATAGTTTTTGCGCTCTTGACCACCTGTATCAACTATCTAAGAAACTGACAAAGTAGGTAGGTAGGGAGGAAATATGGGATTATAAAATTGAAAATAAAAACAATATAGTATGTTATTCTATATTGTTTCATTTGAAAGTTTCTATCCTAATCTGTAATAAAGTGCAGGTCATTCCATTAAAAAACGTGTGTTTGAGTCACCACTTAGTTAAGAATGTGGAGACTTTAACATTTTCTAAGACAGGAGCATACTGTAACGCTCTCGAATAGCTGGGACCAGTTACAGACCATGTGTGAGTGCTTGCGGTGCTGTCTAAAAAAGATTAGGTCAAGATTCAAGAATAATACTCTTCTGTAAGCACCTGCTGCCATCTAGACCATTTCCATGGAAGTTCCAGAAAACTATGGAATGGTTCTCGACTTGTCGATAGGGGAATAAATATCCAACCAGATGACGGAACAAGGCAGCTACGGTCGAGTCTACACCCACAGTCGAGACAGTTAAACAACGCGGAATCCCGTAGTCCAGACAACATAGTTATAAATTGTCATAAATTAGTACAAGTGTTATATATTGATGTAAAAGTAATGAATTAGACTTTGGACAGTAAAACCGGTGTTTTTGTTATAATTTTTGTATTCAACTTTTTCAGACACCATGCGTAATAACGCAGTTATCGACAGAGCCCACAGTAAAAACTCACCCTGTGTGTGGTCAGCCGTCCTAAGGGATTGTAACTGATGCATTATTGTTTTTGTCATGATATCTTACGAGATATGTCTTTTAAGTTTTGCATATAGAAACATAGCAGGCCGCGCGGCTCGAACGTCAGTACTGAATCTTAACCTCATTCTTTAGTAAACTTAAATTCGAAGTTTTACAACAATACGTGCAGTGTACTCAGTACAGTGAATTTTTAAGTGTCACCAAGTCATTAGAAAAATGGAACTCAGCCGAGAATATTTTCGGGCCATAATTTATTCAGAGATAATTATCGCAACAAGAATGCCTTACTGAGTCACTGTCTGTTTTCGGCAACGAAGCGCCACATCAGTCGACAATTTTCCGTTGGTATGGAGAATTCAAACGTGGAAGGGTGAGTCTTAGCGACGATCCCAGGGTGGGTGCACCAAAAACGGCAGTCACCCAGGAAAACGTCGATGCTGTGCGCAAACTCATCATTGAAGATAGACATGTGACATATCGCGAGAGTGAGGCGTCCTTGAAGATCTCAAAGACCTCAATTCATAAAATTTTACATGAAGAATTAGGAGTAAGAAAATTAGTTTCTCGTTGGATACTCCACCTGTTGACTGAAGAGCAGAAAGCAGCCAGGGTTAATTGGTGTCAAAAACCGCTTGACCGTTTCAATTCCGGAAACTCAAAAAATGTGTACAGCATTGTTAGTGGTGATGAATCGTGGATTTACTGTTATGAACCAGAAAATAAACGACAGTCGGCTGTTTGGGTCTTCCAAGGTGAAGAAAAGCCAACAAAAGTCATCCGTTCTCAAAGTGTTTCGCAAAAGATGGTCGCGACATTTGTGTCAAAAGCGGGTCATATTGCGACAATTCCTCTTAATCAGCAAAGAACTGTTGCTGCGGATTGGTATACCACCATTTGTTTGCCAAAGGTCATCACCGAGCTTCGAAAAATCAACCCCGAAAGAAGAATCATCCTCCACCAAGACAATGCAAGCTCGCACACAGCCCAAAAAACAAGGCAGTATTTAACGGAAGAAAACGTGGATTTATTGGACCATCCTCCATATAGTCCCGATCTAAGTTCTAACGATTTCTTTACTTTCCCGAAAATTAAAAACAGACTGCGTGGTCAAAAGTTCAAGTCACCAGAAGAAGCAGTTGACGCATTCAAAAATGCCGTTTTGGATCTGCCAGCAAACGAGTGGAATAAGTGCTTCGAAAATTGGTTCGAACGCATGCAGATGTGTATTAATTTTCGTGGAGAATACTTCGAAAAACAATAAAATCATTTAAAACTACCTACAGTGTTGTTGAATGTGCATTGAAACACTGGAATCAACCCATAAAATTATGTT